CAATTCTTCATAGGTTGTTTTATTTCTTGTATATTCGCGAAGGATGTGACAATAAAATATATATAAAAGAAGTTTAGCTGAGATGTTTCATTTTATTTTTATTTCAGCTCATAAAGCTGTTTTATCGTGCCGTGTAGTAGTATCTTGTCCATTGTTATCTGGCGCCATGCCTTTTGTGGCCCGGCGAAACACAGTGGATACTGTCCTATCTACACCTAGTGCTTAATTTTGATTTAGTTGGATTTGAGGGGTTAAATCATGGACTAAGTGATATGTACCATTCGCCCTCTACTACGTAGGTTAATTAAAGAATTTAAGAAATGAAGATTGTGCATAAATAAGGAAGAAGATCCAATAATCAACCGGATATCAGCAGTGCGCGACGAAGAAATCTTCGAAAAGACGTTAAATAACCATTATTATGAATTTGGAATCAGGTGTGGTACCTACATGTAAAGGTGCGTTTTGTTAAGGTCAGTTTGTTTCAAACTTTGATAATGCTCAATGTAGTTTCAATTAACATTTTGTGTTTATTGCAGCATGTGCTGATGTAATGAGATATTGATGCGTTTCTGAACTATTTGTTTCCATGGAGGTTGAGCTAACCTTTTATCGTTGAAAAATAAGAAATTTTGAATATCCTTTAATAAGAAATTTCTTTTGACTCCAAATTTTCCTACAAATAGTAATAGTTGTATGAGTTAGTAAAGAAGGTGACACACCCTGACCCAGAATGTCCATTAGGACTCCGAATCAAGTTGTGCCGGCCGACACCTGGAAGGTGACGAAGCCAAAAAATGTGATGGTGTGGAAAATTGTGAATACATTTAAACCTTAGAGTGCCTAAATACCAGAGTGCATTGGGGAGCGGGAATGAACCCACTTCACACGGGATGTTAGAGCATAAGCAAGTACAGAAAAATGATATAAGAATCGTACCCTCGAAATAGATTACGATACTAAGAATCGCCGCGAGTCTTTGGTGATAATAAAACTCAACTAATAATACCTGGAGGGTGAAGACAAGACAAGGGTGAGTGACCATGTAAGTAAATTACTAATAGAAAACATATAACACATGTAATCCCTCGTTACAACACATGTATAATTTCCAAGGCAATCATAATGTACCAAAACACAACATCTCAACAATAATATCAAATAATCATGCGATTAATATCTGATAATAGTATGTAAGTCGGAGTCGCCTCTAGTGACCTATACGACATATTCATATTCCATCACATATCTTATCCATCATGGCTAGCGTATAAGTCGGAGTCACCTCTAGTGACCTATACGACATATTCATATCTCATCAATCATGGCTAGCATATAAGTCGGAGTCACCTCTAATGACCTATACGACATATTGATATCTCATCACATATCTCATCAGTTATGTATGCATATAATAGCTGGAGTCACCTCTAGTGACCTATACGACATATTGATATCTCATCACATATCTCATCGGTTAAGTCACCTCTAGTGACCTATACGACATATTGATATCTCATCACATATCTCATCGGTTATGACTAGCATATAATAGTCGGAGTCACCTTTAGTGACCTATACGACATATTGATATCTCATCACATATCTCATCGGTTAAGTCATCTTTAGTAACCTATACGACATATTGATATCTCATCACATATCTCATCGGTTATGGCTAGCATATAATAGTCGGAGACACCTCTAGTGACCCATACGACATATTGATATCTCATCACATATCTCATCAGTTATGGCTAGCATGTAATAGTCGGAGTTACCTCTAGTGACCTATACGACATATTGATATCTCATCACATATCTCATCAATCATGGCTAACACCGTATACTTACTTGAATTTACGTAAACTTACCTGAACTTACCTGAATGTCCTACGTTCACCTTTGCACTTCAGAGCGCTCACAGTAACACAATTATATATATATATATATAATGCATCATATACCAATTCATATACGAAATATAAACTTATATGCATGTCATTCAAGGCATAATCTCGTTTAAACATATTTCTGGAAAAATATCAAGTATATAAATATATACTGAAAACCAAAAGCTCACACACATTGCTCAATTCCTTAAATAAGGCTATGGTCTCGATTATTTAATCTCATTTCTTATATGGCTGCATCTAACGTCTCGTTAAACCGTCTACGTACCCTAAACAAGGATCAAGTCATTCGTAGTTCACATTAATCATTTATAGTAATACGCATATGGATAGATCACGATGAAATCTAACTCAACCATCTCATAGTATTTTATAACTTATAAATATATATCTATATATATATATATATATATGTCATGGCATAAATTTCTTAGTTTTATTTAAAAACATTTATAGAATTATCAATCATGAAACATAAGATGAGCAAGGAAAGATCCACTCACCTGGAGTCCGCACTACAACTTCCTAGCATGAACATCGAGGCGTCATAAATGATCGGCGCCTGTGACCAATTATCAAACCATATCTTAGAATTTTCGTTGATATAATACATGACTTACATCGCATATAAGTCTATGTAATTCGGTCCAGAAGATCCACAGATCAGATCTATGATCCGTAATTTCCAAGGATACACATTATGCTTCTAGAACAACATACTAAAGTTTCAGAACGATCCAACGGTCGGATCTCCGCTAATTGCCAAAACCAAGTGGCGGTTAGCATTTTATTTTACGAACTTACAAATCCAATTCGAGGAGATCTATAAGTCGGATTCCCAATCCGTAAGTTCCTATATTCTCAAATATTATGAATAATAATCTATCAAAGTTTGATGATGATCCAACGGTCGGATCGTCGATTCATATAATGGCCTATTAACGTATCTTAGAGAATTTTGGCTCTAACGATCAATCTACATCATTCACTTCTCAAAACTGAATTCAAGACATCACATATAGTCTAAAAATAGCATTGGCGACCCTCAGGCCAAGCGCCACCGCACCCGCCGCCGCGGGTGGCGGTCGGCCGCCCTGGCTCGCTGGAAAATTCAACTATTTTTAAAAATTCTAAAAAATTGCAGAATTGAAGATCTCAAAGAAAGGAACAACTTTCATACCTTTGGCCAATTTGGCCTAGAAGGGCTCCAATTTCACCAAAACCATACGAAACCCTTGATTTTGGGTGTTTTCAATCCGCCTCCAAAACAACCATGCCGTCCCAACCATTGCTTGGGCTTTGTTCTAGGCCTCAAGAGGAAGCTATGGGTGGTGGTGGCAATTGAAAGAAATTGTTTCAAAAATGGAAGAATTTCGAACACCCATCCACCGCACCACCTGTGCGTTTTTCTCAGTTTCTAACTCCAAACTTTCTAAATTTTGGGATGTAATAGGTAGAGGAAAGGCTAAGAAGTTGATTGGTAGAGGTGGAAGGTTGTAAAACGCCGGAAAATTGGACGGAAATCCGTCGAAATTGGGTGTGAGCACCGCCGGGTCGAAACGGGTCACAAGTTCTCCTAACCCGTTTCTCCTTTTTTCCTCCGCTTCTCACCCTCTCTCCTTTCCTCCTTTCCCTGTTCCGATTGGTCAGTCTCTCTCTCTCTCTTCTCCCAATTCGGCCCTTCTCTCCCAGAGCTCTTCCTTTTCTTTGGTTGGGCAGTTTTGCCCAATCTCTTCTTCTTCCTTTCTTTTTTCCACCAGCCACGCACACACACACGTAACCTCCTTTCTTCTCATCCCAGCCATCCATTTATTTCTTCATTAAATCTGGGCCGTCCACTTTCATAAAAGAAATTCCAGATTTTACTAAAATTATAATTCCTAAAATGCCTAAACTTCAAACGTTAATAACTTCTTCGATATAGCTCCAAATCATGAACTGTCTGCGCCCACGCGTCCATAGCGATGAGTACTACGAGGATATACCAAGAAAACAAATCTTAGGTGGCACGACATAGCAATTAACCTTGAACAAAGCACGTGCCTCAAAGGGCATTTTCGTAAATTCATGCTTCTACAACTTATAAAATAATAAAATTTGGGACGGGTTGTCACAGAAGGCAATGTATTCAAATTTCTATAACCATATTGATGATAATAGGCATTGGATAATCTAGAAAATTATGGAGATGAGTCCACCTATATTTGTCTGGCAAAACTACACTCATAAAATCAAAGATTAAGTTTGATATCAAATTATTATAGCCGGTTCATTTTGTGTCTTAGCTCCAGTCAATCATCTCTTTATGTAATATTGTTGTACTAAAAAAAAAAACAAAAAGATTTAGTTTAATTTTGATTACAAATGGGACAAGAATGATCAATGTCAATAAAACTAGATAATTTTGCTTTAGTATTAAGGCTATTTTTTTTTAGACAAAAAAGTAACAAATTTTTGAATTGTAAGTGGAAATTCAAGGTTTCAAATATGTCGAAGAAAATTATTAGTAAATGGAACTGTGTCTTGTTAATTTTAAAATAGCTGCTGACTTTAATGAAAAATTTCCTAAAGTATTAGGTTCCATAAAAGAGAATTTAGGTTCTTATCTATCTTTTTGTTACTTCATTATTTAAAACCTTATTTTTTTTGAATTTTTGATCAAGGTACTTGGGTATTAATAACATCATTAATTATTTCAATAATAAAATATTTTTTTATTTCTAAATATATTCATTTAGTGTTAAAAATGTTACAATCAGTATATTTATATTTATGGCTAATTTTTTTATCATATATTTTTATTTTTGTTTGTACCCATTTTTAATTTGCAAACCTTTTTTAATTTGTAGCAATTTTCTTTTCAGTTTTAATTTGTACCCATATATTAATTTCTTATTATGCCCATATCTTTTAAAGTTTTTTTTGTATTTGTGCCCATGTGTTTACTGTCACGTGACATTGTATAATTAATCAATGATAGAAAAATTAAATATGGTATATCATATATACTAAAACTCAAACCCCCTGATCACTGTGGATGACCAGTGTGATGACAGTTTTACCCCTGGATTTCTTCTTGGTTTCCTCTTTGTGACCTGCTTTGAACAGTGAGATTACGTTTTTGCCCATTGGATGCACGTGTCGACCATCGCTGTGCAACGCCTGCTCCTCCACTTTTCTTCTCCCTTTTTCCCTTCCGTTTCCATTTTCCCACGCGTCGATCATCGCTGGACGTGCTTTCGACTTTTCTTTGCTTTCGCTTCTCTCTCTCTCTCGCCATTCTCAACTCTAGCTTTCTGTCTCCAAAATGGCGATTTTTCTCGCCTTCCAACCTTCCATCTTTCTCTGAGGAATTATCCACAACGGTGCAATTAGATCCGATTCAATTTTTACCCAGAAACGTTGGCGTTTCCTGGTGAGTTTGACAGCTTTCTCAGTGTGGGTGCTTTAAATTTTTTTGGGGTTTTAGATTTGCAGATGGGTTTTATGTTTATGTTTGCTTTTTGTGATTCTGTTTGTAGGCTCGGATCCTCCTCTTCTTCTTCACCCAAACCAGCTGCCCCACCTTCGATTGATACGGACGGAAACACAACGAATTGAGCCGCAACACCAATACTGTAACAATTATAAGAAAAGAGCTCCAAACCCGCAAAGGTATTATGTTTTTTTCTTTTGGTTCTGGGTTTTGAGCTGTTTGGATACTGAGAATAAGTTTTTGATTTTTTTTTGTTTCTGGGTTGCCTACAATTAATAGAATTAGGGAATGGGTTTAGCGTGAATTTAAATTCTGGGATATCCCTTGAGGAAAATCTTGGATTTTTTTTAATTTTTTTTATTTCAATGAATATTTGTATTGATTCACTGACCCCTTTTTTATTTAGTAGGGGAAAAGGGAATGAGGTAATTGAATGAGCGGTTTATAGTAGCTAAGTACATAAAAGTATATATTTTCTCTGTGTGTGTTTTTGTTTTGATTATGATTCCTTCCCTATTTCTGCAATTTTGTGCATTGGGCTTTCTGAGATTTATGATTTGATTTTTTTGGTTAGTTTTTTTTTTTAATGGAATTTGTTGTTTGGTCATTGCACTAATTACAATTGATATACGTGTAGAAGTAGGATTACAAATAAATAGCAGCATGTGAACTAAATACAAAACAGAATCAAGATTGAACTTGATCTGCAGCAGCGGCATCCTCTGAGGAAACCGTGTTGGAACAGAACTGTATTTGTGCAGGTAGGATTATAGTCGGTTTATCATTATTTGTACCCTGTAAGACCAAACTTACAATAAATTCTCTTATAAGCATGGGGAAAGTACCGAAATCCAAGTTTTATTCTCTTACATCTGCTTGTGTTTCCAGATCTTGCAAACGTATTTGAAGTGTTGTTGCCACAACTTCTGCTGTATCCCAATCCTTCTGACGCTTTAAATGGAGAGGCTGCAGCTTTAATGATGCGTTACCAAGCTGCTTATGAACAAAGAGTTAAAGGTATTGATTGCTTTTTAGGTTCATGTCTCCCTGTCATTATGCATCTGTTTTCCATAGTTTTTTACTTAAGTTTCGACTTTAGTGTATTCGTGTCGTGATTAGTGCTAATTAGAACATGGATTCTTCAACAGCAATCTTTTGAGTAGTGTTAAGTCTTTTGTTACATTATAGTGCTACTCTTACACCTGCAGATGTCAACTTAAGTGTGTTTGAGTTGAGAACCTTGCATTCTGTTACATTTTGAGAAGTAAACTTAAGTTGACAAAAACAGAATGGTTATCAAATGGGACCTTAATTTCTGCATAAAAATGAGTTATAATGTGCATTATCGAATACTAAGTTATGTATTTTCTTTAGTTGTTTCCTCGAGAGCATTCCAATGCATCACTAAACATGATTATACAAGCAAACATTGTATTGTATTTAACTAATGTTACTAAACTCAAGCAGCAATTGTCATTGGACGTGCGTTCGAGCCTTAGGTTTTCCCAAAATTAGATCGTTTCTAATTACGTTCTGCAATCATGTTGTGTTTGTCTGTTTTTAATTGTTGGTGCAAGCTTGAAGGAGATTGTGAAAAATTGGACTGACTCCTCCAACAAATCTGTCAACCACCTCCTTGCCCAAGGTGCTCCCCCATCTCTCTGTCCTCACTTTGTCTCTAAAATCTTTATCCTTTTCAAATATATTTGTCTAATATTTGAATTTAAAGTTTTGGGTTTTTTTCTATTTTAGGCCAAATAAAAAAAAATTAGTTTTGGACTGAGGCATGGTTGTATTAATGGATCCCTAATTCTATAATAAATTCCAGGTTCTCAATCCTGATTTGATTTTGGTGGTTGTAAATTTTTCTACTTATTAATGCTTCAAAAAATAAATATGTGGTTTGATATGTTGAATTATCCATCATGTGGGTTTGGGATTTTGGAAGTAATATTAACTGGAATTAAACAGGTTACTTAAATGGTGGAGGACAGATTAAGCCACTGTGAGAAAGTGAGGTTCCATGTGTTATAGGTGCTAATTTAGTTTTCTGCATTTGCATCTTTCTGATTTTTCCTTATGCTGAGTCCTACAACACTAACTCTGTTATCGAAGTAACGTTTACAATTACCTTGGGCAGTTCTATACTAAACTGAAGGAACATTGGGATATTCATGCTTTGAAGAATTAATTAGTACTATGCGTGATTCACAAACACTCAACCGAGCAAAAAACTTTGCTTTTCAGCAAAATTGGGAAAGCCTAGAAAAATGACTATTGGGAAACTGTGTGATCATTTTAAGTTAATCATTATTTTTTTATCTTAGAATTCTTTTACTCTGTTATATATATATATATATATATGAATATATGAATTTCAATACTGAATGTGTGAACTTCACCAGAAAACTCAAGTACATATCTCGAAAGCTTTTTGTCCAGCCCTGAACATTTGCTTTCCACAAGAAGGTACATCTCTCTCTCTCTCTCTCTCTCTCTCTCTCTCTCTCTCTCTCTCACACACACACACACACACACACAGCATACATGTTTTCTAAGCTGAAATACACTTCTCAGACAGATGTGATTATTGGGTTGGATTTTTCTTATTAACCTTTGTATGATAGTGGCTTTAATTTTTGAGGCAAAATTTTTTATGCAACCTCATTACTTGCAGAATTTGGTTTCGTCAACCTTTAATGCCTTATCATCGGAATAAGTTAAAGGTAAGGGTCACCAAATCATACTATTTTTGTTGCTATTTATTTCCTTGCTGAACATGATGAAGCAAATCTCTTCATTTGCATTCTTGCATTTAAATTTGCATGTCAGTTTATGGTAAATAATATTCAATTTTCATTGTCTTAGATTCTACTGAGATGCAGTTTTATCATCTATTTATAAAACCCATTTAGTCTCACAATTTTTTTGTGTGGTAAAACATAAACTGAAACATTATGTATATCCAAGATTGAAGAAGAAATTTAAGTTAAATTAGATGGACATCCAATACTAGGGGTGATGTTGTCAAGGTTGTAACCATATCAGTAGTCGATTTTATAAATAAAGTGAAATACAAGACTAACCCAACAGGTATCATAAAGTAATGTAGAACTACTTTTTTCTCTCTCTCGGTACTCTCTATCATTCCTCACTTGGCAAAAAATGATAGATTATCCCTCATGATGTGTTTTCCATGTTTGAATATTTTGTTCATTCAGTGTCAAATGTTTTCTTTTTGTGTATCAGAATATCTCAGTAACTCATTGTTTTTTCTTTCCTGTAGGTGGTACAATAGTTCTATCCGATGATGGTCGCTTTTTTCAAAGTCAAAGGATGCTGTGGAATTTCAAGATTGAAAACCGCTGGCTTTCAATCTTTTAAAACAAATTACCTTTGTAAGGTATCAAAACTATAATTTTTCTATAGCAAATAAATTTTTTTCCTTCACTATGGTAATTTTGTTTAGATTAATTAATGTTACACTGATACTAACTCAAATTTATACACTGCTATAAGATCAATTTGTAATCCCGCAGCAACGCGCGGGCATTACTAGCTAGTTTATGTGCTATGGCTAAACTTTGTATCATATATTTATTGTCACATCCTGGCCCGGACTCCCACCATATCACGGGCTCGACTCCGCCGTATATTGTCTGCTTTGGGTCTCGACCATGCCCTATCCGATGATGGTCGCTTTTTTCAAAGTCAAAGGATGCTGTGGAATTTCAAGATTGAAAACCGCTGGCTTTCAATCTTTTAAAACAAATTACCTTTGTAAGGTATCAAAACTATAATTTTTCTATAGCAAATAAATTTTTTTCCTTCACTATGGTAATTTTGTTTAGATTAATTAATGTTACACTGATACTAACTCAAATTTATACACTGCTATAAGATCAATTTGTAATCCTGCAGCAACGCGCGGGCATTACTAGCTAGTTTATGTGCTATGGCTAAACTTTGTATCATATATTTATTGTCACATCCTGGCCCGGACCCCCACCATATCACGGGCTCGACTCCGCCGTAGCACCATATTGTCTGCTTTGGGCCTCGACCATGCCCTCACAGTTTTGTTTCTGGGAACTCACAAGAGAACTTCCCAGTGGGTCACCCATCATAGGATTGCTCTCCCGCAAACTCGCTTAACTTCGGAGTTCCGATGGAATCCGAAGTCAATGAGCTCTCAAAAGGCCTCGTGTTAGGTAGACATGAGAATGTACATATAAGGCTTATATGATCCACTCCCCTGGGCCATGTGGGATGTAACATTTATATTTTTAGTTTGTACCCACTTTTAATTTGCAAAACTTTTTTTTTTAATTTGTAGTATTTTATTTTTATTTTTAATTTGTACCCATGTATTAATTTCTTTTTGTGCCCATATTTTTTAAAATTTCATTTGTACTCATAATTTTTTAATCTTTTATTTGTACCCTAATTTATTTAAAATGTACCCATTTTATGGATACATTCTTTTGCCATTTATTATTTCTTATTGTTACATAGTTTTTATCTATTTATTCAATCAAAATGTTTGAATTTTTTTATTGTAGCCGTTTCTAATAGTATTATAATGAGAGATTTTAAATTTATAAGATTATAAATCTCATCAAACAATTAATGTCAAAAGTATAAAAATAAAAATATTAACAGTAATATAATGAGGTGTTCAAAGTCAAGAGACTTTGATCAAACTTTGAATACTAGTAAGATTTTAGTCAAAGAGTGTTAGGGACTAGAGACCGCATCTAACATGATTAGATTGAATAATATAGGTAAATTTATAGAAATCATGATTAGACATAGCTAAATTAATAGCTTAGATTGAATTAACAACATGATTATAGTTTCAAGTATAATATGCAGCAATTGAAACATATATCAAAGATTATGTTAGATTAATTGCTATTTACAAATTTACAATCACAAGGACAAGTACAAAAGGCAATTGTAACATACATCAAAGAATAAATGTTACGATCCATATATGCCCTCACCTGAATATATCACTTGTCGAGGGCTTTCTCATCCCTTAGTCACTTTCTACCCCTCTTAAATTCCCTTGTAATCTTGGTTGGGCAATCCGACCTACAAAAATTTTGTTTAGCAAAACTCTTTTCACTGGTATCAAACTGTGATATTGTTATTAATACTTTTAATGGTTTTACCTATAAGACATGAATACAATCAGAACAACAACTATTGCTTGACAGCCACGTAGCATTTTATTTTCTTTCATTTCTAAATGTTCTGAACTCCAAATAACATTGCTTTTGAGGGACATTTAATTTTCTCCAATATCTTATTTGGTTTTCTTGCAGTTAGTTTGTTATAAAATTCACGTCGAAACCCTTGGATTATTTGTCCAAATCTTTTGTTATTATAACAAAAAAAAACCCAGTTATAAATGAATTCAGTGACATATGAACAAGCAACGTTCATTCAAATAATGTGTTAACAATCATGCCCTTCTCACACTTAAACATATATTCTTCTTGTTTGTGAAAAAAAAAAAAGAAAAATTGAGTGAGGGAATTTTTGTTGTTGTTGTATCTAATCGACGAAAATGAAGAACTCGTTTCTTGTAACGAGCATGAAGTATCATTGCTAAAACAATTCTCACCTATATCATATAGCAAGGGCACAATGCAACTAATTATGCAGCTTAAACATGTTTAGACTTTAAATTAAAGAAATTGGTAAACTTTTCACTCCACCAACTAAAATTTAACTGGTATTGCTGGACTTGCGCAAATTTAGAACTAAAAAAAAATGCTCTACTACAAGAATTATATGCTTCCATACTTAAATCGAATTTAAGAACTTTAAGGATGAGAGAAACCGAGAAATTTAAATTTATAATGAGGACAACCTAACAAATAATGGACTCCAAACCACAAAATTGAAAAATACTTGCAACGCAAATTGCTCCTCTTAACTCTCATCTTATTAAGGGGTACAATGCTATCCTCATAACCAGTAAATAACTTGAACCCAAACGAGCCCATTCGTGGAAAACAATTTCACTTCTCCTGAAACTTTGACTCTTCCTATTGTATAGAATCACCCACATATAGGCAGGTTTCTGTCTGCTCAACCGCGAAGATTGGAGGAGGAGCTCATCTGTGTGAATGATACAAAAAGGAACAGCGTACCCTGACTCCGCCCAACGAGGAAAAACGATGGTCTCATTAACCGAGTCCTGCGTTTGGCAGTCCTTTAAAATCCATAACCCCATCGTTTCATGATTCATCATCCTACTGCCACCTACGAGACCCAAATATCCACCCACCCCAACTATATTTCCCACTGGATAACTAACACTACGCGTAAAACAAGTACAATCTTCAGGAAGTGGGATCCATATTATCATCTCAATTGTCGAAAACCACAATGGGACTGTGTCCCGTACGTCCAATGTATGGCCCCATTTACGCACATACTTTGCTTGTGAAACAGGAATTTAAGAGGTTCAAAAGAGAGATCATTAAGGTCTACCTCTATGTGCCTCCATAAACTTGTCCCCATTTTAAATATCTTGAACATAAAATGCACATCTCACACAGCAGGGATAAGCTCTTTTACTCGGAGAACTTTATACTCATTTGTAAGAGGACTGAACCCAAAATGGAGTGTAACATGTGCTTTGCAGGACACGCGTGAAGTGTGGGGAAGAGATATAGACTCTCGTGTGCAGGGGTTAAATATGCATACGGGGTGGTTTCCATCTGTTTGATTGGGAGGTGAGGTGACCGAACCGTTGAAACACTGTGCAGTGTACAGACGTTTATTCTAGGTGCGTGTGTTAGGCTTCCTTGTTGGTTAATTTGTAAGGATAAGTGTGCTTCCTTGTGGGTTTGTCCCAGGCCGTGAGAAGGATGTGAGTGTGCTTGTTGAAGCCCAAGTGGTGATGAGTGTCAATAAAAAGGAAGCGTTGCGGGTGAGAGAGGACCAAGACTTGCATACGCAGAATTGCATCAAAGACTTAGATGGTAGCCTTGCGAGTATCTTGAAGCATGTAATTTGGCTGGGATGAGCTCTGGACCACTTGATGATTCCATTTATATTGTGAAGAAAGTTGAGGTTTCACCATAAAACCAAATGACAATATAAGGAGTAGCTCAACCTCTTATAAGCCTTTGCAAGGTATCTCCCTTCACCAATGTGGGACTCTTTAATTACCTTCACATTCTCACATATTGATCTATATTCTATACTATTTTCTTAGGATTAGGATGCAAGTTATCCTTGCAGGTTACTAGTCGCAGCTAGTTTTGTATCGGCATATCGATGGTGAATGGGAATTGGAACACTCCTGGTTTTTATCAGAAGAAGACTAAGAATTAAGTGAGGATGTAGGCTATAGAGTAAGCTGCTTTGGTTTGTTTGCTTGTCTCTAAAAAAGACAATGTAACTTCAGCTATGTTTTCATTTTTGTTGAATTGTTCAAAACTTTGAAGAGTAAAACAAGAACAGATAAAACTACTAATAATTCTCTATTTGATGCCAATGAATCAAGATATTATTATCTTTCTTTCCTTTTGTTTTTGTTTTGAAAAGAAAGAGTACAATATTTATTAAAGTAGCGAATGAATAAGTACACAGGAAGATACTAATGAAATTGAAGTTTCACCATAAAATCAATTAGCAATATGGGGAGTAGCCTAATACCGTATAAGTACATAGCAAACTTTGTCCCTTACCGATATGAGACAACTTTCAACAGATACTGTGCCTTCATATGTGCCTCGATAAAAACCTTGACGGGGATGCATATGAAAAGAAGGAATCGAGGTGATGTTTAGGATATTCTCGTTATTTCTTGTGACTACCAGAAGCCATTTACTCCACCAACACCTAACCCTTAAGCTAGATGAAAGTAGACGTAGGTGGCAAATTGTTAGTTTTGTATCAATTACCACGGCGTATATGAACTTTGGGTGGTTATGGTCGGGTAGTATTTTTGCAATTTTCCTATTTCCCTTTATATTGTGTGTAATCATACATTCATCCACAGTGGCGGAGCTGGCTTAAAGAATCTGGAATGACAGCGGTACAAACGTTTAGTTGTTCATTCAAAAACCACATTGATTTTACTTTGCATTTGTTTGCTCTCAATTTTTGGCTTTGGTCTAATTGCTAACTCTAATACCATTACCTTACTGTATCTTAGCTAATTGGACACCAAAGCTTCCACTTCCTTGGGAAGTTCTACATTCATATTTCATAAACGACAATTGTTGAATAAAATGTTAAAACACCGAACCTTAATTAGGTTAGGTCCTCTTTTTCTTCAAATGCATTCTTTTTAACAGATGAACAAAGTTGCAACTCAAAAGAAAAATATGGAATTGAAGCTTGAGGATGAAATAAGTCATCTCACCTTAAAGGGACAATACTGTCATCATAATGAGCAAGTAACTTCAACCGAATATCATTAGGAAGTATCGATTCTGGAAAAACACTTTCACTTCTAAAACTTCTACTCTTCAAATTGTAAAAAAGCACCCTCGCTTCTGACGAATCTTGCCGGAGTAATCTCGATGATTGGAGGAGGAGGAGCTCGCTGGTGTGAATTGTATAGAAAGGAACAGGGTACCCTAACTCCGTCCAACTAAACGGAAAGGTGATAGTTTCCTTAACCCACACCTGGTTTTGGTAGTCCTTCAAAATCCATAATTCCATCGTATTCATCTGCCTCAACTGTTTGTCACCTATTAGAGCCAAACACCCTTCCATTTCAAATATGTTCCCAAGCTTATCGTTAATACCATGAATTCTGTAATCGTAGTCTTCAGGGAGTGGGATGGCTCTGAATCTCTCATCTTTAAGGTCGAAAACCGCTATAATATTTTGTGTTGAGTCATGCATCCAATGTATGGCTCCATGGACGCACACACTTCTCCTTTCAAACTGGCACTTCAGTGGATCAAATGGGAGATCGTTAATGTCTGCCTCTATCCGTCTCCATGAACTTGTACCTAGTTTGAAAATCTTGACCATGAAACTCATGTCCCTTGTCGAATTTAGAGGCTGAAACCTTTTCACTTGAAGGACCTTATACTCGTTCGTATGAGAACTGAACCCAAAGTGGTGCGTAACACGGATGGTGCGGTACGCAGGTGAATCATGAGGAAGAACTATACACTCTCGGGTGCACGGATTGAATATTCGAACAGGATGGTTGTGATCGGTTTGATTGGGAAACAAGGAGTCAGAAAGGTAAAGACAGACTAAGCCGTTGATACTCAGTGCTTCGTAGAGACGTTCAACATTCTTGCCTGGCGGTGTTGGAAGTTTTAGAAGGTGGGTGACAAGAGTTGGACTTCCTTCTTGGTTGATTTTTACTGAAAAGAAGTGTTGCTGCCTTGCAGATTCGTCCCAGGTGGTGAGGAGGAGGTGACTGTGCTTGTTGCGGTAGAATTTCCGATGGGCATTGACAAAGGAAGGGTTGCGGATGAGAGATGACCAAGACTTGCATACGGATTTGAAGCGCATCAGAGACTTCGTGGATATCCTCGAAAGTATCTGAAAGCCAATAATTTCGCTCGGGAGCTCTGAATCCGATTCCATGAATCTCTACTAGCTTCATGGGAAATTATCCTTACTAATCACAACTAGTTTTGTAGAGGTAATGGTCATTGTTTAACCATCAGAAGGCAACCAAAAGGTCAACAGTCTTTTAAATAATCGCAAATCCTAAGTTTGAATTCATCGCCATATGTTGAATAACCCGCTCTGGCTGACTTGACTTTAAAAAGGCTACATCCTACACGTTTCTCTTCTGTTTTCCAAGAAACATCAAACGATGGCTAACCTTTCACCTACCCATTCAAAATTAACGGCTGTTTCTAGACTTCGATTATTTGAAAGATAGCAGTATATATATACAAGATTCTTGACAAATTGTAATTTACGTGTAATTTCACAACCAATTATTTAAATAAACTGTAAAATGTCTTACGTGCTTCCAGAATGTACAGAAGAAAAAGTACCTCTGGTAACTTGTCAAACAGTATCAATGAGGATTAGTATTACTGATTTGGTCGGGCTGAATCACAATTCCACGAACTCGTCGTGACCAGCTGCTTCTGCATGAAGTTGGAGCTAAGGAAGACATTGGTTATAACTTAGGAGGTGTTGGAGCTGCAGGTGAGTGCCAGATACGCAGAAGCCACCGGAATCATCTTGCTTCCCGTAAACTTCTACCATAGTTCCTCTTGGATTTTCTGCAGATGCCGTCCCTGGAATCCGCACAAACCTAGCTCCAATTAAGGTGAGTATAGAATGTATGTTCTATTCAATATTCATGATTTACAATGAGATGCTCTTTATAGGAGCCAAAGGAGCGGACAACAGCTAATGGAAATAGTAAAGAAAGACTAATGGACCATTAGTGGTCTAGACAAAATTATGAAAAGTATGTCTAATGGAAGTACTCATGAAAGGCTAGTGGACAAAGTGGACAAGCAATCAATGTGTTGAGAAGATTCCCTTTTACGCCCCCGCAAGACGGTGGTCCCGTCAGAGACACCGATCTTGGATCGTAACAATTGGAAGCGTGGACGAGGAAGAGCTTTTGTGAGGACGTCTGCAAGCTGATCCTGAGTAGAAACATGTGAAACTTGAAGAAGCCCGCGATTGACGCGATCACGAACAAACTGAAAATCAAGTTCAATGTGCTTCATGCGAGAGTGAAGAACAGGATTGACACTATAAAAGGTGGCCCCAATATTGTCGCAGGAAATGGTTGGCTTATCCAGTGTAGAGACACCAAGCTTATGGAGAAGGGATTGAAGCCAAGCTAGTTCAGCAGTAGTAGAGGCTATGGCGCGGTATTCTGCTTCCGTGGACGATCGAGCGACAGAACGTTGTTTGCGAGAGCTCCAAGAGATTAAGTTAACTCCCAAATAGATGTCATAACCCGTGGTAGACTTACGGTCATCACGATCACCAGCCCAGTCAGCGTCTGAGAAGGCATATAGACGAGATGAGGCACTGCGGCGGAAGAGAATGCCATGAAAAATAGTGCCTTTTAGATAGTGGATGAGACGTTTTAAGGCCTGCCAGTGAGACTCAGTTGGTCGATGCATGAACTGTGAGAGTTTGTTGACGGTAAATGAGATGTCAGGGCGGGTGAGACTGAGGTATTGGAGACCTCCAACAAGTTGTCGAAAGGTAGTAGCATCAGTGAGAGGATAGCCATCAGAGAGAATCAAGGGAGTAGAGGTAGCCATTGGTGTGGTTACATCTTTAGCACCATCCATTTTAGCTTTAGCGAGAAGATCATGGATGTATTTATGTTGAGAAAGAAACAAACCCGTGGTGGTGGGTATCACTTCAACCCCAAGGAAATAATGAAGGTTCCCCAAATCTTTTACAGAAAAACGATTTGCCAAGGCTTGAATGAACGTAGAGAGGAGACTGGTATTATTTCCCGTAAGAACAAGATCATTAACATAAACTAGAAGGAAGATCACATCTTTATCCTGACGAAAAATAAAGAGAGAGGTGTCTGAGATGGCATTGACAAATCCTTGATTGAGCAAAAAAGTGCTCAACTTCTTGTACCATGATCGAGGTGCCTGCTTGAGGCCATATAGAGCTTTGCGAAGTTTGCAGACATGTGTTGGAACGGTAGATTCACCGAACCCGGGGGGTTGTATCATGTAAACATCTTCAGAAAGTGATCCATGCAAAAAGGCATTGTTCACGTCTAATTGACGAAGAGGCCAACCATGAGTGAGAGCCAAATGAAGAACAATACGGATGGTGGTGGGTTTGACAACTGGACTGAAGGTGTCTAAGAAATCCACGCCAGGACGTTGGTGAAAGCCTTTAGCAACAAGGCGTGCTTTGTACCTATCAATGCTGCCATCAGAATGTCTTTTGATGCGAAAGACCCATTTGCACCCGATAAGATTCTGTGAAGGTTGAGGAGGAACAAGCTCCCATGTGCCATTGCGGATTAACGCATTGAACTCGTCGGACATTGCTGCACGCCAAAGAGGATCTTTGATAGCCTGAGAAACACATGTTGGTTCAATGGGAGAAGGAAGTGGGTGTTTGGTGGCAGTGCAAAGTTGTTTAGGTTTAAAGATATTGTTTTTGGCTCTGGTGGTCATGGGGTGATGGTTGAAATTATTTGGTGGTGGTGGTGGGGGTAAATGAATGATAGATGTGGGTATGAGATGATGTGGGGATGGGGGGTGAGCAGTCGCAGATGGTGATGGTGCAGGGGAGAGACACAACTCCGAGACCTCCGAAGACGTATGAGTGGCAGCATGCTGAGAAGAGGTGTGTGATGGAACCGGTGGCACTTCGACAATGTGAGTAGGAATGGAGATGGCGGCTGGAGTGACAACAGACCATGCAGTGGAGTCGGGGGAAGGAACTGAAGGGATGACGGAGTCTCGAGAAGAAAAAGGAAAAGTGTTTTCATCAAATCGAACGTGATGGGAAACAAACATACGACGGGAAGGGAGATCAAGACATATATAAGCACTTTGAGTAGAGGAGTAACCAAGAAAGAGACATGGACGAGATCGAGGAAGAAGTTTGTTGGGATTATAGGGTCTTAACCAAGGGAAACATAAGCAATCAAACACACGAAGCTTAATGTAGTTAGGAATATCACCAAAGAGAGCTTTGTATGGAGAGATATTATTGAGAACATGAGTGGGCATCCTATTAATAAGATACACAGCAGTTTTGAAAGCATATGACCAATAAGTTAGGGGTAAGGATGCTTGGTGGAGAAGTGTTAACCCTGTTTCGACAACATGGCGGTGGCGGCGTTCAGTAACACCATTGTGTTCAGGAGTGTGTGGAGGAGTGGTGAGGTGAGTGATGCCGTTTGTGGAAAGAAAATGTTTGAGTTTGACATATTCCCCTCTTCCGTCAGAGTAGAAGGTGATTATTTTGGTGTGGAAGTAGTTTTCTACAAGAGCTTTAAATGTTGTGAAGATGGAGAAAACATCGGATTTGTGTTTCATGGGATAAAACCAAATGTATTTTGTGAAATGATCGACAAAGATAACATAGTATGAAAAACCATCAGTAGATAAATAGGGAGCAAGACCCCATACATCACTATAAATTAGTTCAAGGGGACGCTTACTAACAAGCGTAGAATGACCAAACGGGAGCTTGTGGCTCTTATTGCAATGACAAGAAGTGCAAACAGAAGGAGTTGAAGACATAGGAATGGAGGAGGTATGTTGGATTTGAAGATAAGTTCGATGGTTGGGGTGACCAAGCCTATGCCAACAAAACACGCTCTCGGGTTCTCAACCTCAAAGAGCGTCTTACGCTCATGCGTCGTGATACACAGCCTGTGTCAGTTTTTCTACAAGCAATCAATGTGTTGAGAAGGGCTGTGTATCACGACGCATGAGCGTAAGACGCTCTTTGAGGTTGAGAACCCGAGAGCGTGTTTTGTTGGCATAGAGCTTGGTGAGCTTGTCCCAAGCCTCCCTGGATGTTTTAGAGGAGGAAATGAGAGATATAATCTGTTCAGAGATAGAAGCTAGGATAACATGTAGTAGCAGCTGATCTTGACGAATCCAGAAGGTGTAGCACACAGTAGAGGAGGCAGCAGGACGTGGTTTTGATCCATCAATGTAACCCATCATGTCATACCCAAGAAGCAGGGCAGTGAATTGAGCTCGCCAGGAAGGAAAGTTGGTGGGTGTGAGCTTTAGAGGTAACTGAGCAGCAGCATTAATGGTGACAGGAGTAGGCAAGGGAGGTGAGTTGGTGGAGTCAGCCATGAGGATCGGAAGAAAAAAAATTGCTCGATGGAGCTTTGTTGCTCTTGATACCAAATTAAGGTGAGTATAGAATGTATGTTCTATTCAATATTCATGATTTACAATGAGATGCTCTTTATAGGAGCCAAAGGAGCGGACAACAGCTAATGGAAATAGTAAAGAAAGACTAATGGACCACTAGTGGTCTAGACAAAATTATGAAAGGTATGTCTAATGGAAGTACTCATGAAAGGCTAGTGGACAAAGTGGACAAGCAATCAATGTGTTGAGAAGATTCCCTTTTAGCTCCTACAGGTTCTGCAAAATCATTGAAATACAACAAGCGTAAAACGGGAAGACGTTAACTTACTCGGGATTTTACTGTCGTTGCCAGTGTATCTTGCTATTGTGCTTAGCTCCATATAGCTCCGGAAAGAAAAATCGGCAGAAGATTATAAAATCCAAAGGAATAAGAACAGAAGAAAACTGCGAACTTCGTACCTGAGACTTCTGTAAGGAACAAGTAATTCGTAGTTTTTTCATTAAATCAAAGTATATACAAGAAAGTAGAAAGCGAAATGATTACCTTCAAAAGGCCCTCTCTGTAATGAGGAATAACAAAAGTCAGAAAGGCTTTGTTCTCTTCTTTCGGTAAAACATTCAAACGCTGTCAAAAAATTTCCCACGAAATCAAGCTTTCTGTGGGTGAAAAAAAGTTTAAATCATTTTTCTGATTTTTACCATGCCAACAGAGCTTCGAGCAGAATATCTTACAAGACAATTTACAATCTTTTATCATCTGTATAGATTTCATCCCAGAATTTCTTTATCAATGAACTAAAATAATGACACTATTACCATCTCCGCCCATCACTGGTGTGATGCCAGTTAGACGAATAATTGCCGTGGTTTTCCCAGCTCCATTTGGTCCAAGTAAACAAAACAACTGATCCTCGCATAAGTTCAACCATAAACCCTGAAGATTATTCAAAAATATCAATTGTTACTATACTATTTGTAAGAAAAAAATGGACATATATGCTGTGTCTGCGATATATTGTTTGTCTCGAGCATTATAATATGAATGATGGCTGATGAAAATCTTGATATATAGGAAAAAAGATGCAGAGCATTTACATTCGTATCCCTCTCTCTACGTGACATAAGAAGAATTGTATGGGACTTCTCTGAATCAGAGTTTCAAATAATTTCGAGCTTCTCCTCTTAAAGTTTTCATTTGAAGGCCAGACGTATCCGGAAATAGAAAACCCATATCCCGAAGTTTTGATACGCGTGTCTGTCGAAGTTGACCGTATTTCTTGACCAGAAGAAGTATCCAACCGTATCCATCAAGTAGCGTATCCGATACTACATTGGATACAGGATGCAACACTGGATTAACATGTCTGTGCATTGTAGGTTATCATTCTAGGCAGCTAAGTGGTGCAATGTGTACTTAGGTAACCTGGTCATAAAGAGCGGAACTAAAGCCAATCCGAACCAGATTAAAGCCATCATGGAAATGAAATTTCGTCAGACTGAAGGAAATTCAAAGTCTAACTAGAAGAGCAATCGCCCTTAGTCGATTCCTCCCACGGTCTACTAATAAATGCAAGCCTTTTATACTGCAATAAAGAAAAGCAAGTGTCTACTATGGATTGATGAATGCAAGGTGGGTTTTACGAAGCTGAAAGAGTACCTATCTAATCCGTCACTCCTTTCGAAACCCGAGATGGAGAAGATTTGTACTGGTACCTGCGGTATCAAAGTGTAGGCTATAGAGAATCATTTGTCGGCCCAAGACTGCAATCAAGGCCCAAATACTTGCAGACTTCGTAAAAGAATTCACCACGGCTAACTAAGATGTCTTGTCCTTCACGAATCAGTGGAAAATGCCTGAGATCATCGTCTCTGGACACTCTACGTGGACAGATCGTGAATGGAGCAGGATCATGAATGGTCTTGATGACGCCGGATGGATCCATACTTAAGCAAGTCTTGAAGCTCGGATTTCGAGCAAGTAACAACGAGGCAGAGTATGAAGCACTGTTTGCCAGACTTAGGGCAGCAGAAGAACTCCAAGTTAAAGAACTTCCAATTCATTGCAATTCGACTCTGATCGTCAACCAAGTCAAAAAAGTTTATGTTGCTCACAATCAAACTACGGGGCTATATTTGGCCAAGGCCAAGGCACTACTTGAAGGATTTGAGAAACACAAAATTCAACAAGTCCTAGAAAATGTGAATAGCCATGCCGATGCACTAGCAACCATCGCATCCATTATGGACTGCTTATTCCGACGAATTTCCTTTAAGTACCTCGCCACCTTAAGTGTTCATGAACCAGAGCTAGACGTGATTACTACTATCAGTACAAGATAACTAGATAGACGTGATCATCGGCTACATCCCAGATGAGAAACTTCCTAAAGATTGCCACTTAGCCAAGAAATTGGTCTAAAGGGTTTAACATACATCATCATTTGTGGAAGACTTTACTTGAAAAGTTTCAAGTGTCTTACTATAACAAGATTAATGACTTGAGTAAAGCAATATTTAACAAATTGTGTAAACACATGTTTATTATCAAAGTCCCATGAATAAAGCAAAAAAAGTACGATTCTTGGGGGAGACACACCCTCACCCCTATATAAAAAATTTCTCTAAGTAGTGATGCTTGTTATTCCATCTTCCTCGACTTACTTCAAGAGGATGCCGATAAGGCTCCAATGAAGAGGAACCGACTGAAGTATCTTGACACTTTACTCAAGTTGAACTCGTATGCAACTGCAAGGAGAATGTTGCTTTTATCCATGGAACAGAGTATGAAGACTAAAGAACTCGATAAGGGAGGAAAGTTCATTGTTGATAGGTTATGGCTCATCCTTACTTCACCTAATGAGTCTTGATAACAATAAATGTGAGTGTCGCAAATTTCTTGACTACATATCCTAATCAATGAAGGCTCAAAGTAGGGGATGGGTATGAAAACTAGAGCATAATAGGAATAGAGAAGAGCCATGCTTTGGTTTGAAAATTAGGATACGATATGTAATCCGATTTACTTCGAAAAGTATGGTCTTAGGATAAAGATCCATCTTCAAGGGGAATAGTCCTTTCAAATACATAGTTAGAGACAATTGTGAGATTATGATTTTCTAGGGCCTGAATAAGGTGGATAGAAATACATTACCTTAGAAGTCCGATCATGGACTTAAAAGCTTCCACAGCAAAGTTGCACAGACATAGCAACAATGCCACCATCATATTGTTCCAGAGCGGTGGGTGAAGTCTGTCGACTTCACTGAGATAGACCATGCCTGTTCTGCAAGCTACAGAAACTTGATCCGACATGGAATTAGTCAGGTTTATTCTTAGAGTTCCTAAAATATAGGGATTGGCATGCGTTACAAGTAATCATACTCCTAAGAGGATGCAATATTTATTGCTAGATATCCTCTAGGATTCTCCCGATTTAATACGGATTTCATACTCTACAATGACTCTATCTTGACTGGTATAAATACACCCTTCTAAAAGAACTCTAACGCAATTTACCTATTGCTTGAGTCTCAAATGTATTGCTTATTAACTGGACTATCAAAGAGCCTTTGGTTGACACCTCACCGACCCCTATGTTGCTTGCGGTTGTTTTCTATTTTATAGGTAAACGAGTTTGTGCATCTCCACTTTTGACTGCGGTGCGCAGATTTGTTTCCAACAGAGCCCAAATTTGGGCTACTCAAATCTCTTGTTATTGGCATTGTCATTTCCATGTCATTGTATTTATAGTTCTCCTTTGGTACAAAGGAATATTGGATTGGAATATATAAGATCTTATTGAAAATATGTTGGAGGAAATAAAAAAATTGTAACCAAATTGGAGGTGGGAGATAAATACTCAAAAAGAAAATTTATCCATTCCAATCATCCCAAAATGGTAGAATTAGAAAGGAAAAGTTTTTTCATGTGTAATCCTTTTAAAATGAAAAATCATTTCCCTCAATCTTGAATATGCCTTGAATTCAAAGAGTAATTTTATTAATACAACATTTTAGTGATACCACATTGACACGCCTGACCCTGATATCCTTCGAACACTAGGGTAGGCACGTGTTAGCCGACACCCGAAGGTGACGAAGCCATACTAACATGCATGAGAACTATGAAGAAAGAACAAACATAAATAAAACTCATAAATTCAACTATAATGAATATGCAATTGTGAAACGTGTTCAGAGTATACAACTAATCCAGAACATTTAAGAAGGAGTATTACACAAATGTACGAACAAAGGGAAGTGTCCTACACCGAGAGGACTCGAAGATACTGATGCGGGAGTGCCTTGATGCAGAATTGTACGCCTCAATTCTAAGTCATGAGGGGGCGTAAAACAAAATGTGAGTGGACCCCTTCCAAAATGCATGATTTAATTATTAGAAATGCATACATGAAAAGCATGATTTAATGGCTACGTTTTATGAAACATTTATGAGTAAATTGGATTTTACGCTTTATGAAATATCATGTTTCACTGGACTTATGTTTACTGAGATATTTATAAATATGATTTATGATATGATGTTTAAGCTACTGAGCTCTGATGATATATATTTTGGAAAGATGATGTTAGATGATTTTTATGGGCTTATTAAGTGGTTACTCATACTATGTGCTAACGGGTGAATGATATCTATATATGGCTTTGGTCAGGTGATGTAGGGGCCTACGGGCGAATGAAGATTTATATATGGCTTCGGTCGTATCAGAGCCTAACCCTGGCCGCGTCTGTGTCGAAGAGGACGTCGGGCTCCTATGGGGGGTGGATTGTAAGATCCCATATCGCCCAGGGGAGTGATCCTTATATGTATATTCTCATCCCTACCTAGCACGAGGCCTTTTGGGAGCTCACTGGCTTCGGGTTCCGTAGGAACTTCGAAGTTAAGTGAGAACGGGGCCAGAGCATTCCCATGATGGGTGACCCATTGGGAAGTTCTGCTCGCATGAGTTCCCAGAAACAAAACCGTGAGGGCGTGGTCGGGGCCCAAAACGGACAATATCGTGCTACGGTGGAGGCGGGGCCCGGGATGTGGTGGAGGCCCGGGCCAGGATGTGATAGGTCGGGTGATGTAGGGGCCTACGGGTGAGTGAGCCTTCGGGCAATTTTGATACCACTACTAAGCACACTACATGATATATGTTTTACGATGGTTTTATGGCATGCTAAGGTTTTCGGAAAACCTATTACATATTATACTATTGAGTTTTCATAAACTTTGGGGGTTAGTACTTTGATGAAACATTCGAAGTTCGTGTTAGAGAAAGTGAGGAAGCACCAGTTGAAGGCATAGTTTAACAAGTGTTGGTTGGTGGGATCGAATCATGTTTTCGGACTTGTTGTTTCCATTGAGGGAATTTGTGTGGACCCTCAAAAGATTTCTCAGTGATTGTCTTACCAATAACCTTCTTACTTACTCCAACAACGAGGTCAAGTTCACTAAACATCGACAGTCAACTTTACACCAAATTCTTCGAACATTGATTTTGTTTAGATTAGATACTTTTCTTGGGAGACTCTTTGTAGTAGACGCTATTCTCATCAATTTTCAAAAGAGTTGCGATCGTTGGAAAATGAAAATCCTCACAGGGTGTTATGAGATACGAAATATCATTGGTCTTGTCACTTTCTATCGGAAATTCTTAATGATTCTTTGAGCAGAGCCTTATTCCTTTATGGCTAAGGAACTAGTCAATTTTATTTGAAATGTTGAAGGTGAACGAAGTTTCTAACAATTGAAGTATTGTCTCACTTGATCATTATTTTTACACTTTTCGATGACATCGGCAATTTCGAATTCTACGGTGATGTGTTGTTGAATGTTTGGCTGCACGCTGGTGCAGCATGATCGAGTAACGCGTGTGTCTCTTGACAGTTGGAACCGTATGTAGTGAACCATCCTATCTTCGACCTTGAGCCAACGGATACAATCTTACTTGAAGATCTATTGACACCCTTTCTTTGTAATCTTAATTAGTAGTATGCTCCAAACATGTTCATGCATTATCACTTTTAAATTGTTGGTAGTTGAATATTATATTTTATTAAGGTTTGTACTTTGTTACTATATTGCGTAGTTACGCGCAAAATTATTATGCATGTTTCACATATTCTCGACATATGCATTCATAAAATGATCATCCTCGGGTGTCGGCCAGTACATGACCATCATGTTGTCCGTCGAATACCGGGATCGGGCCGTGTCACACATGATGTGACAGTGAATGACAATGTGGTGGTGTTGCGAACAATGCATGGAACGATAGTTTAAGTGGTGGTGGGAGATGGTAAACCTAACCTCATAGAGATTTTGTTGGTTATTAAATCAAATACTTATTAATTTT